TCAAATATAAAACAATAAAAAAAAACTTAAAAAAAGTATTTGGTTTTCTTTAGCGAAAATCTCATGAGTGTTGCAACAGAAAAGCAAGGCACTTTCACTAAGTAACTGCATCTACAAAGAAATACCTCAATAAAATCTAATCAATGATGTGATGATAGTTCATTTTTAAACTAAAATTTTAATAAAATCCTTTATCTCATGGATGGTGAACATTATTGAATGTCAATTATCAGACAATTCCAGAAAAGGCTGCAGACCCTATAGTCTTCCGTAGGAACTAGCAGTTATACCTGCCTGGAGGATGGGTATTTCTGCTAGTAGAATTAATACTTAATATAGGGGTCAAGCCGGACTCCCAAAACAGATGCCAACAGAGAGAAGTGTTTGAAAATAGAAATACTTTTTATAGTAAATTTATTCACAATGTGAAAACACTGTTCAATAAACTAAATGTTGTTTATTTAGGGGTTAATTATTTCTGTGTATGTGATTTATGAATATAACCATGACAAATATTGGGTCCAATCGAAAAAGCCACCTGACTGGGGATGAGGTCCAAGAGTGAATGATCAAACAAATAAAAATTGATTTCATCACCCAAAACATTTGAGTCTGTGTGTAGTGTAAGTAAAAATAAGTGGGCAGGTATGGTCTGCTATTTAAAAACTGGGGGGAGAGGTGACACCTTAATCACACATCTCTGATATCCCTTTCTTGGCAGTCTTGCAAGGCATAAACATTTGATTCTGTGTGTAGTGTAAGTAAAAATAAGTGGGCAGGTATGGTCTGCTATTTAAAAAACTGGGAGGAGGGGTGACACCTTTAATCACACATCTCTGATATCCCTTTCTTGGCAGTATTGCAAGGCATAAACATTTGAGCCTGTGTTTTACTTAGGACCCAAGATAATTATTTTCACATATAAAATTCCTTACTTAACAAACTGGTCCATTTGGATAAGGTGTCTGATGAGGTAATGACCATGAGGTTGGTTTCAATTTTAAAAACTTTTCATCCTGTGTGGCCACACATATATTCCAATCAATGGATATATATATATATCTTTATATATAAATATATATATATATATAATTGTAAAGTGCACATTTTATAGCTTGTGGCATACCAGAAGGTAGGCATTTGAATTGAAAATATAGGCCTACTTATAACCTTCAGCCAACAGAAATAAATTTTCTAGAGTTGTATTCAAACAAGTGCAATAATTCAGGATCTTTGGGGATCATACCTCCCTAAATCTGCTAGTGATGTGTACTTGGCATTGCACATTTAAATATTATTATAAAGTGATTTTATTTAAAACTAATATTTAAGCGATATCATCTATAGCAAGTTCTCATACCCATGGGAATATACATTGCTTTTTCCTGCATCTTTACAAATTGAGCAGTGCAAAAATCCCTTTGTAGCTTGCACATACCAGCTGAAGTTATTCTGATTCAAAATTCTGTGAAGTTCTTTTAGATTTTCATTCCCTAACTTTTATTGGCTTTTTGTTTCTGGCCAGAATCTGACTCAAACTTTTTCAAAGGCTTTTATGCATTACCAATTTACTACAGAGATTCTTAGTGAATGAAGAATCCCATTACAGTCATCAATATAAGAGTTATTTTCCTAAAGTGAAAATGTATTTCCAATCATACTTTACCTCTGTTGACATTATAGCTATTACTTGACTTTACGCATCTAAGCATTGATTTGATTTTTCTCGCTTACTCCAGTCTTTTGTACCCCCCTCATTTGCCCTTGGTGATATGTCTTGTGATACTTTCCACCTATGTCAATACCCCTCTATCCTGGTACTGTATATAAGCATCTCATTCAGACAATTTTATCACTTTTTTTTCAAGACTGATACTATCCCAGTCTATAACATCTGCTCTTAGTGTGGAGGAAGAGCAGGAGAGTGTCAGCAGTGGTAAGCATTATTAAAAATACATTTTCAATTTAGTAAAACGTTAAGTTCCAAAACATACATGCCTCGACTCCCACTTATAGCTAGAATCCCACATTCAGAAGGTGGAGGAGCCAGTGAGGGGAGTATCCATACAGAAAGTGTCTGCATAGATCATGGGTGTATCAAGATAAGAGTGGTACCCAAGAGGAGGAACCACACCACATCCAGAACAGGTATGCTCTTCACCCTGAACTTAGTTCCTGTATCAAAGGTGGAATAGTACATGAGTAATTATCACTATACGCCAGTTCCAACCAGATAGCCGAGGTTCCACTACTCGGGGTTGGAATTAATGGGTCTTGATCCCTATATCCCATGTTGGTGGCTAGAGCAATTGGACTGCAATGTTATATACAGATATACTTTTGATTGGATCCCAACCTATAGCCATAGAGTGATGCATTATGAAACACTGGAATCATGATGAGAAAGTAAGTAACACCAAAGTGAACAAACATTCTTCTCCACCTGAAGAAGTTCGAAAGGCAACATCCCATGCTCGGAATGATGGGATCGTGTATGTCGTACTCAACCAAAGGAACTGAACTCATCTGGTCTGGAATTATCAACATTCATCCTGACGCCCAAACTGAGTAGGCGAGGAGCCTTCCACTTGCCCCCAGAATTATGGGGAGAATGAGGAACAACTGTGCTCAACCAAGGACCCAGGATGGGACCACTCCCTGTTCATAATTACGAGGAGGTAGTGTACCTCCTTCCATGAACAATATACTGAACTGATAATGATCAAAAAGAAGGGCCATGCATACCCCAACCGGATAGCTGAACAAAAAATCTGCAATGGTATTATGAGTAGGCTGGAGCTGTCCCTACCAATATCTGGAAAAAAACATAAAGGGACACGGATAGGAGAGCCCCCCAACTTGACCCTTTTCTCCAAGAGTGGAGAAATTCACTCTAACACTCTGGAGTAAAAGCCTCTGTCCACTACCCTAGTGGCTGGAAACTAGGTGTGGTAAGGACACCCTAGCTCCATTAGTAAAATCTGTGGGGTGAT